CCTCTTAAAGGGGCATGTCTCTCAGTCAATGAAAAGCAATAATGTAGTCGTTCAAAACAGTGTACTGCGTTGGTTTTCTTTATGTCATTGTAGTTACAGTGTATATTATTCAGAAAGTATAGTATTAACTAAGATATGATGAAAAGGTTGAATGGTGTTTTACTTATTGGACTTTTATGCTGAAAAAAGACATTTATGTTGTGTTAAGCAACACAATGTTTTTTTCATACCTTAAAATAACGACTCTAGAATCATTTTGCTGGTACACAAACGTGTAATAGGGAGAATGGCATTGCTTTCATTGCCACAGTGTGTGCAGGAACACCTGGGACTTACAGTATAGGAGAAAGTGATCATGTAAGAAACCACTCAAGAGTGATTATCAGACAGGCTTTTACTCACTGGCAAGAGCTAAATGAGGCAAAAAGATGGAGGACAGCTGCTGACCTGGTTAATGATCTGGAGAGTGATGTCCAGGCATGTATACAGAACTCTGGACGGTAAAAACTTTATGAATGTTTGAAAGGCCATTTGTCCCGGTGCTGCCAATAGTCAGTTTGTGTTTGTGTGTGTGAGAGAGAGAGAGAGAGAGAGAGAGAGAGAGAGAGAGAGACAGAGAAAGACAGAGAGAGAGAGCTAGCGTGGGCAGCAGCGATAGCGGAGTAAAGACTGCTGCACACAGCTCTACTCTGAAGCAACGTCACAAAACACTAAGTTAGAGACACTTTTTGTGTAAAAACTTTCATTATCATTATAGAACAATGATGTGACAATGATAGCATATACAGTATATATATATATATATATAATATATATATACTGTATATGTATTAGCCTAAATACAACGCATGCATACGTGAAATTCTGGACATGCGGAGCAGCATTAGAACATTGATTAAAAAGTAAATTACATTTTCCTGTTGCTTTGAAATATCAAATGCTCATCATGTCATGTCTTTCCCTTTCTACCTCCAGTTCCTTCTCTTAGGTCCCTCTTTTTTCCTCTGTGACAGGTTTTCTTCATCTTCTCTGTTGAAATGTTTACTGATATAAACTTAATTTATGTCGACATTAAAAATTATACTTTTATTCACAAAAAACTGCCACAAAAACATTCCACGATGAATTTATTTGATAATTTCCTCCTTCCTGTTTCCTCTTAATCTCTCTCTTTCACTGCTTTTCTCCTCTTTCTTTCTTTCTCAAAACTTGAATTCATGTTCTCAGTGTCAGTTAAGGTCAAAAACCTCTCCTCTCCTCCTCCCCCACTATTGTTAGGTTTTTCTGGTTAGCTTTGGCTGCCTGTGTGTGTGTCTGTGTGTGTGTGTGTGTGTGTATTTTGTTAGTGAATGAGAAAATAGCAGATTGTTGGAATGAAAATGATTATTTTACGGGTTTTGTGTATATTCCCATGAAATGTAATGTATCTCATGATGTGTTGTAATGATACTAAACCATAAATTACACATATATTTGCATTCAAACATTTATTACACATAAACACTCCTTCCCTGCAGTTTCCAATATGTACTGTTTACACATCACAAAATATTCAGACCTTTTCGTTTCAAAAAAGACAAATTATGCTTCAGCCCTTTGTTAAAATCATTGGACGGATCTTCTGTCGTACTTCATTGTCGATCCTCTCAGGTTGGATCAGGTTTGGGTTCAGGTCAGGGCTCTGACTGGGCACTCAAAGACTTCAACAAACCATCTGAACACACTGGAAAAACCTTTCCCCCTTGTGGTTGTTCTTATCTCAAAGCTCACATCATGGTGTTTATGCCCCCTGTGTAAAGACTTCCCTTTGATTAAAGATACAAAAACTTTCAAGTGAACTTCAAGCTGACGAGGCCGAGATGTAGCTGGAATCCTTCTTAGTGTGGCTGTCAGGCTGTGGCCTTCTTCATATTTCACAGTATTTCAGTTACTGTTCGTCCTCGTCTGGTTGTTCGGAGCGACTCTCCTGTCTGAGATGATAAAAACTGGTTGATTTTTACTTGAACAGGCTAGTGAGTTGTAAAATGAGCTCTTGTGTTGAAAGAAATATTCTGCGGATTTCATTAAAAATCTGAGTGAATACATTTTTCACCTCAGTGAAAACAGTTCTCTCCTCAGCCAGAATCTTTTCCAGTCCACTAGTATGATTCTATGAGGATTTGTACCATTTCTTTTTCAAGAAATGCAAAGTATGACGATGCCAGTTGAATTCTGGGACCAGGCTGTTTACAGCTTCGTTACTTCACTGGAACTGGAACAGGAAGACTGTGGTGACACTGGACAACTCCCAGATTGTGTGTTTGTGTGTGTGTGTTTGAAACAGGCACAGTTTTAACTTTGTGTGGTGGCCACACAAATAAGAAATGTCTGTAACGAAGAGGAATGCACTGGCTGCTTTTATTTAATATTCTACAGAAGTGTGACGAAATATTGGGGCAACTTCAAGAGAAAAGAGATTTTGAGTAAAAAGTTATAATTATATGAGATTTTCTTCCCATTAAATTATGATTTTTTCTCATTAAATTATGACTTTATTTTGACTATTCTTCTTATATTCATTTTTATGGTATTATGACATTCTTGTCCTTTAAATCATGACTTTATTTTCAATCACAACTTTTCTATAACATTATGACTTTTTCCTCATTAAATTACATCTTAAATTAACATTTTATTTTCAAGTAGGGCTTTATTTTTATTAGATTATGATTTGACTCTTGTAATATGACATGATTCATTTATGATGTTATTTTCAAAATATTACGACTTTCTACTCAATTACAACTTGATTCTCTCTATGTTACTTTCTTCTTAATAACATCTTTCTTGCAAGACTACAACTTCTATATTCTATAATATTACTCTTTTCACAAAGGCCTTAATTCTCCATTGTACCAATGGACAGTCCAGTGGGGAAATTTACTGTCATATCAGCCTCATAGTTCTAAGCAAAGATAAATCCAAAAGTCAGCATTTCAGCTTTTATGTAAAGGTCTAAGAGATTTTCCACTATGAACATACAACACAGTAAGCGTGATAAATATTTGAAACATGTGGAACTCCTCCTGACATTTTTGTGCCAAAAAGTCAGTAGATTCCCATATAGGGAATATGTAATTTAAAGCTGTTGGTCTTTGAGCTCGGGGGTGTTGAAGGGAGCGTTGTAAAGTCATTTAGAGTTCCATGACCTCTGCCTCCACACACACACACACACACACACCGACTCACAGAAGCTTAGCTAATCGATCTACCCTTCAACACAAGACCAGACCAGTCACTGCGACATCTGCGTGTGTGTGTGTGTGGGCGGCTCGTGGAGCGAGATGATGAAATGGTCACTGTCGCATCTGATAGAAGTCACAGTGAGGCTGATGTGAATAACATCTCCTCCGCTATAGGTGGTTTCCTTTGCTTCAGTGGAAAGTGTTTGAAGAACAAAGAGGCAGAACTGGCTGAGAACTGAGAACCTGCAATCATCACCAGTTGTTTTGACCAAGACGCTGCACACATGCGCACACACGAACCCACACACACAGACACACTTTTTGATTTCTCTCAGTGATGCGATGAATGTCTGTCTCTCCCTGCCTCCTCAGCGGTCCTTGTCACATATAGGTTCGGTGTGTATACAGTTTGGAAGTATCTGGGGGATATGTGCAACTTTGACCTTCTTAAGTGTGGGTACAAGGTGGGGCCGGGACTTTTGGGAGAGTCTGATTGGTTCTAGTGTTCCCACATCAACACAATTTTCTCTTCGGCTATGACTCAGGGAATAAAATGTGTCATTGGTCCATTTTGGGTTGGTCCCCACATCATAAAATTACCAGAGGTTTTTAACAAGCCTGGCTCAGGAACAAAACTCAGTTTAAGTTACCTCAGGTTTGGGCTGTAAACGTATCTGAATAAATCTTCAAACTAAAATGAAATATTTATTGAATATATTGTACTGTAACTCAATCTGTCTTTTTTGAGTATCTCAGATATCTGCTGCCTTCAATGTCTCACACCCTTTCCACACTGGAAATGATCTTTTTCCTCTGTGTTCTCATCACTAAGTCACTAAGACAGATATTTTTTATTAATGCCTTTCAAAGGATAAATTAAAAAAACTGTTTTTATGTATCGCTTTGTATCCATTCAAAAACATATCTACTGTAGTGTAGACAAGGCCTCAAACTACTGGACACAAAATGTTTTCTAGTGGACAGCCTGCTGTTATTTATAACGTCTGAATTGTAAATAAATTGAAATAAAATGGAAACATAACCTCTGCAGACGTAAAAATGTTATATTCTATTTAGATATTGGCTGATTGATGCATGGATATTTCTGCTTGTGACCTTTTAATTGCATTAAACATGTCTCTTTCTATTCATTTCCCTCTTACCGTTCTGCATGTCCGTCAACACTCTGACTCTGCAGGCCTTTTGCCGTGGGAGAAAAAACCTCTAGCCGGGACAGAGACCAATTCCCCGGAGAGCACAGTATCATTATGGTGCATATTGCACTTAAAAGCATAGAGGGGAACACTTCTGTTGGTTTTTGTCATTTCACTCTGTCAGAAGTGGTCGCACAGCATCTCTTAAGTTTGCTGCTGCTGAAAAAATCATGGGCTTTTGCTTTGGACTGATGATAACAGGGGTTTATTTAGGGAAACAGGAAGCCATGAAACCTATTAGACCTTAAGTATAAATCATGTGATCGCTTGAAAGGCTTCTATGGTTGACCTCAGCGCAGTGTGTGAAAAGAATATCCACTCATCAATCACTACTGCCTATTTTTAGACTGAAACCCTGTTTGTAAATATGCAGTTTCATCCTATTTGAAGTGAAGGAACCATGAATGTGAGAGGAGCCATTGAAAAAGCATCATATTTAGATAACTTGTAGAGGAGGAAACTTGCATAACCTCATGCAGAGAGAGTAAATAAGTAGTTTCTCTTTCTCTCTCTGTGGATAATGTTGTGACGCTCAGTGTTTGTGTGTGTTTCCATCCCACAGTGGAGTACGACAGCGAGCTCTCCCCACAGCGGCGTCACCACAAGGAGTTTAAGTTCAACCTCTCGCAGATCCCCGAGGGCGAGGCCATCACCGCGGCGGAGTTCCGTCTCTACAAGGAGTGCGTGAGCCGCACCTTCCGCAACGACACCTTCCTACTCAAAGTCTACCAGGTGGTCAAGGAGCACCCTGACAGGTAACACACACACACACACACACACACAAACACACACACACACAAGACATACACACATGACATATAAAGGTCTTAGACTTGTTATACATACATAGAACATAATTCTCAGCATCACAGTGTGTCATCCTCATTTCATTTAAGCTAAACCATTTATACACACACTTGTACGTCACTGGAAACTGGAGTGAAATCATCAGATTTTGTGGGTTTTGACGGAGCTTGGCCTTAGGCTACAACATGCGTGTGCATTAATCCACCCTTGGGTGGGTCCAGTAGGTTTGCACTGAGGTCGCAATGGGAATCAGCAAGTAAACAAGAAGCAGGGAGTTAATGAAAACATGCTCATGACTGTTGTCAGGACACATAAAGTTTAGCATTATGATCAACTCCGCCAAGGAGGTTATGTTTTCTCCTCTGTCCGTGTTTTTGTTTTATAAGCAAGATCACGCAGAAGCTACTGCACCTATTGTCACAAATCTTGAGCGAGGGCTGTTTCGGCTTCAGCAACGGGGGGCAGATCGAGGAATTTGTATGATATAGGGAGTTTTTCAACATTTTCACAATTTTTTTCAGGGAATAATTCATGGATCATGATGAAAAAAAATCTGGCACAATCAGGGAACTGATATCTTTGAGAGTGTGAAATGTTGTGCTGCTTAATTGAACTTAAAGGGACTATTGGGCCTTGGAGCTATGTACTCTACTGCCATATAGTTTCTTCTCTGTGTTTCCATCTATCTCTGTCACACTCCCTGTGTTACAGATGCTGTGCTCTTGCTATGTTTATAATGTAAAATCAAGCAAAACCACGTCTTACAGAAATAGCACAGCGTCAAAAATACTCCCACCCCCTAAATGAGCACAGCTAACACATGCCAAACATTTACATTACATCTGCAGGGGTAAATAAACATCCGGCGAAAATTCTAAATGATATTTGTGCTTTATGGAGCCGAGTGCCCAGTGAGAAGAAGTTTTTGATTTACATTTTCAGACTAACAGCTTATATATAGCCCTGTATAATTTCATGATCAATGGTAATTCACCAAACATTCTCCTTTAAAGCTGATAAAGTTTAGAGAGACCCCCCTAACACCTTTAGGTGGGCTCTCTAACACCAGCTGTGCACTCTGAAGCTCCAGGTTCATGCTGATCCACTTTAAGTCCTTTGAGAACCTCAGATCTAGATGTTAGCAAAATATATTTTGAGTATCAAGAGCTGTATATTTGTGCTGCGTTCCATCATCCCTTCAATGTGTGGTTTGTGTTCCCCCACCTGGAGGTACAGCCTTTTATTTGTACAGATATTCGGAGATTAAAGGGCCCATATGTCTCCAATTTCTCTATTATTATAGGACAGGTTTTTTTCTTACCTAGAAGAAAATTACAGCCTGGATGGTGCTCTGTCAGGGGGGGGGGGGTGCGATGGGTGAAGTACCACATTCTTATCTACATTCTCCTCAGTGCTGAAAGTAACAGATTGACTGAGGTTTGGTTTGAGACAATACTATAAAATCTTTGTTGTTTTTCCCCATTTTCCGCCCTTTGCATCTATGATAATTGGGCAGCCAGCAGGGAGCCTGTTAACTGTCTCATTTCTCTTTCCCGTTAAAACCCTGACTCCTGCTTTGACTCTATAAGGCTTAATGATAGAGCACTAATTAGCCTGACACCCTTTGTACTTCTAATTAGACTGGGGAGGTTTCACCAAATAGCTGACAAGGAATGTGACAGATTATAGCCTGGGTTATTTTCCTTCAAACGCTAGTCAGAAGTATTTTTGCCAGAGATGATGCTGTGGCTAACATTATGATTTTAATATTTTATGGTTGTAATAAAGTAATAAATACGTTTGAATCTCCTGGTATGTAGAACTTCTGTAATCCTTCCCTCCACATCTCTGACTTACATTTTCCTTTAACAGTCTCACAATTGTGCTTTTCCCTCTCTCCTTAAAGATGAAAGCCTTCGCAATAACTAGGCCTGCTGCGAGCTCCGCTCTCCCACCGCACATTTTAACAACAATTGCCGACAGGAGTTATAAAGGAGATTTATTGTGGCAAAAAACACAACTGTGACCCCTGACCTCATTATTCCAGTTCATTTAAGCAGTCAGTCAATAAGTTTTAGAGCAGGCTGTAGGTAGTTGCCCAGCTGTGTGTGTGTGACTGTGTGTTTGTGTAAATGGTTCATGTACTACTTTTCTAAGGCAAAGACCGTCATTGTTTGGTGTTCAGTATCTTGACCAAGGACACTTAGATATGGTGTGTGTTGATGGTGTTTGTGTTGTATGTGTGTGTGCGTGCTTGCAGGAGTGTGTGTAGTCCAGGGATAACTTGTGTCGTGGGGGCCAAAATTTTTTTATACAGTTACATTATGGGGACAAAAAGCAAGTCATGGTTAGTTCTCTAAATCAACGGTCAAGCCAATGTAATGTCATTGAAGTTATGGAGACACATGCACACAACTATGTGTGTGTTTACTTGTACAGTTATTTTTGTGTTATTCACAAATGACACAGCAGCACAAGAAAATAACAGCGAAAGGCGAAAATATAGTAAGAATAAAAGTATGAATAAAAATAGAAATATGATGAATACAAAAAGTAGAAATAATGCTACACACACACACACAAGGCTGCAAAGGGGCTAGGGAACATGTTATAGCAGTGAGTGTCCTCATACTTCTAAGATAGAAGTACAAGGTTTAGTGTGTGTGTCTGTGTGTGTGTGTGTGTGTGTAGAGGCTCATGCGGAAGCCTTGAGAAGCACTGTCATTAATGAGCAATAAGGAGAGGCTGCCGGTGCATCACTGCAGGGGCATTCTCCGAACACCTGGACGATGGCGAGGCTTTGATGTCGGCTGTGTAGGAGGGTCCGACAGAGGCGATGCTATGTTATTACTACTGTAATGGGACAGCCGAAGGACATGCCCTCTTATCACTCACACTCTGTCTTTTTCTTACATGTCCTCAGCTCTTTCTTCATTAAATACGGGGGGTCTTTCACTTACTCACAGGCCTGGCTGTTCTGAGCTGTAAAGGTCACCTTAGATAACTCGATAAACTAGTCAACCTAGAGTGGTTACTTGGAAACACTCCTCCAAAATATTATGAACTACATTGATGTACTGCTCTCTCTTTTTCACTGACTGTTTTCTTATATCTTTTGAAAAATGTAAAAAGAACAAATTAAAAACTATTTCTCTTTTTTTCATTTCCCTTGTCTCACAGAGAGCCAGACCTGTTCTTGCTGGAATCTCGCAACCTGTGGGCAGCTGAGGAGGGCTGGCTGGAGTTTGACATCACCGCCACCAGTAACCTGTGGGTGATGAGCCCAATGCACAACCTGGGCCTGCAGGTCAGCCTGGAGACCAGCAGCGGTAAGAGAAATGTTGTTAGGATCTTGAGTGGATAGACAGTCCCCTCAAATACTATTGAAATAATGAGGTCAGTTCCATTGCTTTTGTTAGACACTGGGGTTGAGTCCAAAAGATAAATATGAGACAAAAATTAAGAATTTTTGCTTCCTGGTTCTTAACATGGATTTTATTTGAATCCACCCATTTTTAAATTAGCTAAAATACTGGAACATGCGACCTGTATATGTTTCTTTGAGATTAATACTCTAAACTTTAAATGTCACTCTTAGTTTGAACCTAGGATTTCACCTGTGTAGACTGCATTAGGATGAAACAACATGAAGACCAACGGGAGACAAACGAGGAAAAAAAGATCCGAGCCATGACACAAAAATTGGGTGTGGTCAATACAATATGGAATGTCCTGAAAAAGAAAGAAACTACTGGTGAACTGAGCAAACAGTCATCGGACAGGTCGGCCAAGGACAACAACAGCAGCTGATGACATAAAGAGAGCTGTGGAGAAAAACCAAAACAGACAGTGACATCACCACAAATCTCCACGGGGCAGGGGTGAGGGGATCACAGTCCAGCGTTTGAAGAGGAGGGAGAGAGCAGGACTACAGAGGCCACGCCACAAGATCCAAACCACTCATCAGCAGTAAGCATTAGAGGGCCAGACTGGAATTTACATTTGAAAGCACAGAGACGAGCAGCAGGAGCTCTGGATGAGACCAAGATAAACCACAGAAAGGATGTGCGGACAAGCCAAAACATACAAGCTCATCTGTGTAGCACAGCGGAGGTGGTGTCATGGTTGCTCCTGGAACGTGCTCACTAATCTTTATTGATGATGTAACTGGTGATGGCGGCAGCGGAATGAATTCAGAGGTCCACAGAACGTTTTGTGTGCCAATTTACCGAGAAAAGCATCCATACTAAGGAGATGAATTTCATCATACATCAAAACAATGACCCAAATCATCGTGAGGTAAAAGTGGAGGGTTTAAAACAACATGTCAGCCCCTGAAGAGGAGACTGAAGGGAGAAACCCCCTGAAAGAAACAAGAACTGAGAGAAGCTGTGGTAAAAGGCTGGAAAAGCATCACAAAGCTCTTAATGTCAGTGGGTTACAGGCTTAATGCAGGTTTCGCATGCAACAGTTATTCCACCACATGTATGTTATTCATTGAGAGTTACTTTAGGACGGCATGTTCCTTTAGTTCTGCTCGCCTAAAAAAGGCTCAATCTAAGTTTTTTTAAACATATTTACATTTTAATACCAGGAAATAAATCCTAAAATTCTGAATCTTCGTCTCATATTGACATTCCATGTTTATTTTTTTTATTTTTAAAGAAATGTAAGTACAATTAAATTAAATGAGACATTCTATGCTCATAGTCAGCTTCATAATTTTAATTTGAGTCATAACGTGAAAAGGTTTATAAATGAGTACAGTTTGCCATTCACGCACAAATTCATCCACTGCATCTATTAGCAGCACTTTACATGCTCTAATGTTCAGAAAACAAAAAGAAGACATTAGACAAGGGGGCGTGCCAGACTAGAAGTACATTATGACATCAAATGACATCACAATACCCCAGAAGTGTCAGCTGGACTACTGACGAGGAATCTCAGGAGATGCTTTTGGTGGACGAGCCACCTTTACCACCCTCTTTGGGGTTTTTAACTTTGCATGACTTACAGACCCATACCGAACACTAGAGGAAAGAAAAACTGAAAAGCATATTTACCTGGAATGAACAAAACAACTGAAAACAGAATGTAATTTAGGCAACATGTGCAAAGCAACATGACTGTGGTGGAAAATCTGGCTCTGTGTAATTTTACGTTGCTGTTTCTTTTCTAACAGGACAGAGCATCACCTCTAAAGAGGCGGGGCTTGTAGGACGCGATGGTGCCCTGGAGAAGCAGCCTTTCATGGTGGCGTTCTTCAAAGTCAGTGAAGTGTACATCCGCACCGCCCGCTCCACTGGCGGCAAACGTCGCCAGCAGAATCGCAACCGGTCCACGCAACCTCAGGAGGGATCCAGAGGGCTCAGCCTCACAGGTCAGTCTGAACCTCATCTCAAAGTACCGTGAACAGACACAGACACAGCTCGTATCAGTGGTGCAGTCTAACCGGAAACCTGCATCTTGAGCATTAAATATCATTTTTTCATTGCAATATATATAAAATATCTGTCTTATGAAGGGGATGATAGATGGATTGGAGGGTTGGCTTCCAATTTAACCAGTAAACTTGAGTATGATAGATTGTGTTAGATTGAGTATAGTGGAGAAAATAGTTTTAGAATTAGGGTCAGACAAATGAAAAATAATGGGTATGATGAAAAAAAAAAGTAGACATGATAAAAAAGCGTGAATATTATATAATTTAACATAAAGACCATACTCCTCCCCCATTCTCTCACTATTTAGCAGCTGATATAAAGAGCAGGTATGAACCTGATGATATGAGCCCTGCACGCTTTTCAAATTAAATCAAACCTTAATCCACTCACCCATCACCTGCTGTGTAAGTCTGGCCAGACTTTCCATTTCTTAAAGCCTCAACGCTGCTGTGAGGCTTCATTGTGTGACTCCTGCTGTACATAAAGCTGCTACTCAGTGGGCCTGCTGGTAATATGAAGTCTAATCCCTGGCTAATTTGACAGATGAAGCGCTGTGTTAATATGAAGCCTTTGTATCAGAGCTGAGCCCTGTGTGGAGCAGTAAATAAAATGTCTCCAGCAGGCAACCACCTGTATATGTTCAATATCTGTATTATTCTACATGTTAATACATTCAAACTTTTCAGTGATTTCATTAAAACCCTAAAAAAGGTTTCGGTTTAATGAAAGATTGGTTGTAACTAATCAAAAGTCAAGCTTTTCATATATATATCATATATATTTTAAAATATATAATAAAGTCATATACAATTATATGTAAGATATACAACAGAGAATAAATAGAAAATACGAAAAGCAATGAAATGTTAAACATCAATAAAATATTGCACAGTAGCAGATTTAATTGGGGTCTCAAACTCAACTCAAATTGAGGTGAGACATCTTAGGAATCTAGTTTTTATATACATACAGTATTGTAATGTTTACTTCTTAATACTGGTATCGCCATCGGCCCCCAGAAAGTCTATACTATAGTCCACATTCTACTGCTTCATTTGAATCCTTGTCTGCTAACCTTCAGGTAACCAACATTGTTTGAACCTGCAGCTGCTTACGTTCAGCTCACTGTCAGAGTAACGGTAAATGACCAAACTCATTCCAAGTAGAAGTAGAAGTATTCTTGTGTTTCCAGATTAAACAGAGTTAGCTGACGCTTCGACCAAAGACACATACGTCTGCTCCCTCTAAACCCACAGCCAAATCTGGGTCATAGCTGGCTTACTACACTGACACAGCCACGAACGGACCGACTTGGCAGACTACCTGAGAAACGATTTACCTCTGCTTTGCTTCTTCTGCTACTTGTGTTTAATGGCTCCACCATCTGTGTGGCACACAGACGTATTTGTTGGACAAGTTGGGATTGTTTTCACTGCTGCTCCCTGAAAGTCCTCCACTTGGATTTGTTGCCTCTATTTTCTGTTTGTTGAGAGCATCTTTATTCCCAGTGGGTTACACTGCACTGCTGTAAAATGAATTCCTGCAGGGATTTTGCAAGAAAGTGAACTTGTACCTCATGAATCAAACTGTATCTGCTGTACCCCCCCCCCCCMAAAAAAAATCTGTTCTAACAAGGACAATCTGTTAAATATGCATCCTGGAGGACTGGACTTTACATAACCCAAAACATCAAGACCTCTCCACCTCGCCACTCGGGACGATGCGGAGTGTAAATATTTAGATCCAACACAGGAAGCGTGGAGGCCCCCCTCGCGACAGCCGAGTGTCCGCGGCCAGCGAGAGCGCTGCTGGGACTGGACGGGATGGGAGGATCCACGAGGAATTCAGGAGGGCATATGGTTTCAATACCGCATCACTCACTCCAGAGGCAGGGAGGAGGACAGGATGGATGGGGAGAACATCCGTCTTGTGGAGCGCTCATGGGGGGAGAAGCAAAACGTGGACGGTGCCCCCATAGTTTCAGACCACCACAGCGTATCCCTGATAATTCACTTTCTCCAAAAACACATGATGATCTGAGGCAGAGAGGCAGCGACCTGTTTGTTTTTAATTACTGCAGAGTGCAACCTTCCACACAGTCAGCTTTCTGTTACTTGACTGTGTGTTTTCTAAAAATAATTTCTCTCCTCTGGCTAAATTGCACACTCCTGACCTGTGGTGAACCACTGCACTAAATTTAATGCAACTTTTTTCAGAGTTTGTTGCCATTTTGTCCGTCAGAGCTATTTTCGCGATTTGGATTTTTATAAATTTGGCAATAGAGCTTTGCTTTGACATAGATAAGTGTCAGCTAAGCATCAATCTTATTAAATCAACCCCTCGTGAGGTTTTGTGTCTTGTTGTTTCCTCAATTTTGCAGTGTTAATTACTTGGATTAAATATGACATGATATTAAATGTCTTCCAGATGTCATAAGAGGACAAATTCTTCCAAATACATCTCTGCAGCATTTGTCTTCAGATAACAATGTAATTATAGGTACAACTACAAGGCACGAGTAGGGAACTGTTGGATACACTTGTGCCAAGGTCCCCTTATGAAACCACATTTAAATTCACAATATCAACATTTTTATTTGGAGCTCATTAATATCAGTCCCTTAAGCAAACCTGAAACCCTTTAGTTTTCATTTAAATTCATCAAACAGTCTCTAAGAAATCAAGGAAAAACATCCCATGTTAAAGAAAGGGAAAACAAATCCTGCATCCACCCTCTAATCCAGATCTGGATTAGAGGTTCTCTCCTGACCTAAACCGCATTTTTAGGTAGGTCAGTTTTTTTTTTTGCATAATCCTGCTAACTAACAGACGGACAAAACAGAAACATAACCTCCTTGGTGGAGGTAATAAATCAACTGCGTATCTCTAACCCCCAAAACAGACACATTTGAGGACAGAGCAACTTCTCCTTCTTTTCTTGTGTAGTCAGGAATTTTGTCTTTTAAAATTTCCATTTTCACTTTAGCGCATTGAAGAGCATGCAGGATTATTTCCACGGCGTCCAAAACCTCTGAGTTTGGTGTTGGGCAGCGTTTTCTACTGTGTGCACATTATGCACCTCTAAAAGAACAATACAACACCTTTTAAAAGGTAATTTAGGGTTTTATGGGCAAAGCAGTCCGGGGAGGTACTGCGAGTCGGGTTGGGCTCTGGCTGCGGGGGAAGTTAACAACCATCCAGGGAAGGAATATCACGTCCCAGCGCAGCACAGGCTGCCTGCGAGGCCTGTAATTAGGCCTATCCAGTCATTAGCTGCACGGCTAAAAGACTGACCACGCTAACAATATCGCTTAAAGAATTATAATAACACAGCACTCCGCCAGCTGTGTTTTTTCATCTGTCTCTCCTCCCTCCTCCTCATTCTCCTCACTCCATCCCCGCCCGACCTCCTTTTGTTTACTGTTGGAGTAATTAGACGTAGTGGAGCTCCCTCGCAGGGTTTAATAACCTCTGTGATGAAAGACAGGAAGAAAGATAAAGCTTCAGTAGCATAGTGGCTGGTGGGAGGGAGACGAGAGACAACAGTGACATTCTGCTTTCATGTCTTCTTTGCCAACGGGACTCTCTCCTTTCTCCTTCCGGGGTCGAGGACCCAGATTTTATTTTAAACGTAGGAACCCGACTTTTCTCTCGCTGCCACCAGCTCGATGGGAGTTCATGTAATTTCTTCTGTAAAAGCTGCAATCTTTTTCTCTAGAATGAGTAATGAGATGAGAAATTTGTGGAGCAAACTATAGACTTACAGTAAAGTGGTTTGGGAGATTGTGGCCTGTCAGACGTCACACACACACACACCCACACGCACACAGATACATACTTCCTACGTGGAACACCCAGGCTATAACGTCTGTATTGGTGTCATCTGATTCCTGTGTTGTCCAAACGACGTGCGGTAGAGTTCTAGTTTTCCTCCTGACGGAGAAGAGTGTTTCAGGTGTTTCATGAATGGTAGGTAGTGCAGTGAAGGGTTAATATCAGCCCAACACTCAAACTGTACCGGACATCAAAAGTCTCAGTGTTAAAGAGCCACAGTGCTTACGTTCAGTGAGTAATGTTTCCTCTGCCATTGAATAGACAGGGTGGGAACGAGCCGCCGGTGTCCCACCTCAATGAATTCAATGTGAATGGGTTCGAGTGCAACGTTTTTTACTTTCACACGGCCAACCGGATGTTTGCCCACTCACAGGGAAACATTTCCAGGTTAAACACAGTTAGGTAAGCTGCCGCAGTGTGGGAGTGGAGCTCAGTGCCAACGCTGCTTTCTTTCCATTTAATATACAAATATTTGGTCTTGACATCAGTGTAAGAAACGGGTGAAATATTCCCCCGAACCGGAGTATCAGTTGTCATTGTTGCAGCAAATTTCACTTTAGTTATTGTATCATTTAGTTGGTTTTCAGTGTATCGTCAAGTCAATAATGGTGAAACTTGATGAAAAAGAATATTCTGTGTATACAATGATTACTTTTAGAAAACTGAATGTTTGCAGTGAACGAAAGTTAAGTCACAGTTCTTCGGATGAATAGGTGAACTTTAAATGTTTAGATTAGAATTTAATATATTAAACCATGCCTACTTTAATCAGTTATTACCAAATGTTATGCAACTATTGCATAATAAAAAAATTCAATTTTGCATTTGCAGTTTCCCCCTAGAGGCACCGCAAATCTGAGCCTTTACTCAATGAAAGCCCACAGTAAATATCAGCCTTATTAGAGACTCACAGACTGTGATCGCTGAGAGGTGAAGGGAAAATAAGTCATGTGACTGTGAAAAAAAGATAAAGGGGATATATTGCTTAATGTACTAAATAAAGAAAAACAAGATCAACTTTCAGCAGGTGCTCATCCAACAAAACCCTTTATAAAGTACGTTTGGGTCACATATTTACAGAAAAAACAATGAGAAAATAAAGGTCTTCTTTTCTACCTAGACCCATATAAACAAGCGAGAGAGGACATCACATCACAATGCAAGTTCTAAGAGACATAAAGTAAAACCGGTGTGTGTGTGTATGTGTGTTTTTGCATGTCATGACTGAGTAGAAGCTAATAAATATTAAATAACAGTCACTTTTACTGAAATTCCTGCAACACAGTAAAAAGGAAAAGATGTCGGAGGTGACATTATCTCAGAGCGTCACTTCCTCTCTCTATAAACATCACCTCAAGTTCATATCAGGCCAAGTTGCTCAGCCTTGTTCTTTAAGGGCACTTTTCCTCCAATGTTTCCTGTTTCCTCCTATACAAACACTTTACACACTGAAGAATGCACCTCACAATGCAAGAGACAAATATTTCAGTGTCATAGTTACAGGAAAGATCAGTGTAATCCTGTAGCAGCTGGTCTGGGATCAGTCTGTTTCCTCATTGGTGAAGGTCTCAGTACAGTAAATCTGTTCATACGGCTCTTACAGCTGTTGAAGAGGCAGGTCAGTCAGTCCACAGGGAGGGAGGACAAAAACATGTGACCCAGTATCCATGTGCATCATTTACACTTGCACATATAATCCCTGTGTTTCCACATTAGCACACGTCCAGCAAACTGTCTTTCCTTTCAGAAAGGAAGGAACCTGAAACTGAGGGAAACACCTGATTGCATGTGACAGTTATATACGGCCCTTTGACCTCACCCCACCACTCGTCTTGCAAAGCCAGACTCATCGCCATGGCAATGTGTCAGATGTGGAGAGCGGTCTGGCTGCGCACATTATGACTTGGCTACAGGGGGAATAAAAACTTTAAACCCATCACCATCGTCTGCGGTGGCCCTAAGCACGGAATGAAGTGATGGTGCCCCTGCAAAATAGTGTCGGGGTGGGAGAAATGCATGTGAGGAGGTGGTTAAGGTTGCTAAAATATCTAAAATGGCTCATTTACAGCAAAGAAAATTAAACGAAAAAACTAATAAAATTATATTCAGAAGAAAATTACTACCAAAATATTGTTTTTAACTTTATGATTTACTTTGAACTTTGGGGACGTGTCGTCCAAAAAATCAAATGGAATAAAATCACTGTGCTCAAGGCTGAAGTATTATTTAAGACATTGTTGGGCCACCAAGACACTTTGCTTATGACTTTAGGTGGTCAAGGTTGTCAGAGGACTACTCCCTCCTGGATTACAGTCTTTTAACAATACAGGACCTTAGTCGTTGCCATAAACTACATTCTCTCTCTCTCTTTATTTTTCTCTGGGAGGTTTGTGAAGAAGAAAAACTATAAAGGCCAGACAGTGAAAGTAAGTAAGCGAGAGAGAGTCCTCGAAGAGTCAGTGGAAAGTTGGTGTCACAGTCTAACAGTGTGTTGACTGATGCCAGCAATGACCTTCTCGACTGTAAAAACCAAACGTATACCTGGGACTGACCGCCCCGGCTGCCGGGCAGCTGCAGAGTGGAACAGACATAATTAAGAAGAAAGTGCAGAGCGGGAGAGCCCATAAACACACGTGTCACTGCGTCACCACCTGTGCTCATGCCATGCAACATTTAAATGCAGATTCTGAGTGGAATGTGGCACTTTCACACGCTTTAATTGGAATTCTGTTTTAATTGCTGTGTTTTGCTGTGTGGCCTTCCATTAGCAGTGTTTCAAGGGACTTAAGGGGCCCCAGGCCAAAGGGACCTGCGGGGGCCCCAACATCAAACCAAAGCAAAGTGCAAATCCCGACCATCATCCCTGGAATAACGAAGCTAAAAAAGTGCATTGTATTAATTGTTTTAATTTGTATTTGTCATTTTATAATTGAATTCTAATTATTTGCACTTTGCCCCTTCCATACCTCATGGGCTTCTGTAGCTCCTCCTGTCTGCCCCTCACAGGGAGCAGAAGTGCAGAAACGTAACACTAAATGTATTTAAATATCGTCCTTCATCCCTACCCACGGCTCAGACTCTTGTCTTCAACCAAACCTCTAACATTGTGAAGATTTTGTCCCAAAGTGGCATGGGGCCTCATTAGGGGGTTTCCAACCATGGTGTCATTGCAGGTTCCAGTACAAAGCTGAATATAGAGGTTTATCAGCTGAGGACAGTCATTCATACATTCATGTCATGCTGGGTCTAACAGGTCTGTGTATATCTTAAAAGATACAGTTTCCTGAGGATGTCTGTTCTTCTGTTGCAGATTACAACAGCAGCGATCAGAAAACAGCCTGCAGACGGCATGAGCTCTACGTCAGCTTCCGAGAGCTGGGCTGGCAGGTAGCAAACATTTTATTCAGATTCTACATAGATGCAGACGAGTCCTATTGTATATGAGATGAACCAGTGATCCTCACAGTGACTGTGTTTGCTCAAAGCTAAAACATTGCAGGCTAAACAAACATTACAGTTTTCAAAATGAATTTGTTATATTGCTATTGATATATAGACACATGACAGTGCATGTAAATCTGGATGAGACTGATGATTGTGCAGCATTTTTTCTATATTCACACACTACAGTTCCACTTGACCAGATCACTACATAATATACACAGACATGAAAGAATCCTGAGTAGGGGGAGGGGGTAGATTAAGCATCATGTACGTGTGTTATGAGGAAACGGACAGAGGAAGAAATGTTAACACAGCACTGACCAACGGGAGACTTCCAAGTCTCTCTCTCTCTCACGCACACTATGCACACACACACAAAGAGGGGGCACACTGAGAGGGAGCAGTGCAGAAAGAGAAGGACAAGCAGATGAGTGAGATGAGAAAGAGCAACAGAGTAAGGGAGGAAGGAGGAGAGAAAAAGGGTTTTCAGAGCGATTTCACAGACACTGGTGTTTGTACAGAATCTTGTCCTGAGGCATTGAGGTCAGGTAGACTCCTGAAGATCTAAAATGCTGCATCCTCATTTTAAAGGTTATAACTTTTACCAAGCCCATTCTTCATGTTATCTCATTAATAGTCCCATATTTAATTAAATCGTCTAATCATTATCATCTAATTCTAAGTCACTAATGTGTTATAATATGGATATTAATAATAATATACCCTTTTTATCAGATACATGATGAGACAGCACTGGACCCAAAGGAAATTCAAAATGTTTGCTTTGATATTCACTCACTGGCTCAATTCATGAGGTTTAACTTTGGAGGCTGTAATTTGTGATGATGTTGAACTGCACTGGATAACAATGATATGTGTTCCAAATATTTTGTAATAAAAACACCCCTCAGTATAGGTGTAACCCAGTACGGCTGTTATCAGCATTGTGATCATCCGTTTATAGTTCAATAACTACCATCACTGATGATATGACAAGGTGAATGTGAGCAAGAATATAAACCTGAACTCTCCAGTATTTCAAAACAAAGATACTGCTCTAATAGAATACATTCACTTTTTGTTTTATTTACTGGATTTCATTGATTTAATTGCCTTTTTTTCGTTGTCACATGTCTCAGGACTGGATCATTGCTCCTGAAGGCTACGCAGCCAACTACTGTGATGGAGAGTGCTCCTTCCCCCTGAACGCCCACATGAACGCCACCAACCACGCCATTGTGCAGACACTGGTAAGCCAATACACAGAAGGTTACCATACAGCCGTTGGGATTTGTTAATTTCAAAGTTTAAAGCTTATTATCTCTTGACAGGAGTCAATGTCTACATTACATAAACACCAGTGCTCCAATATTATACCCCCATACCCTGAGTGGAGTCCTGCAGTTATTCAATAAAGTATTATTTGTAGATTCATTCAGATGTGGACTGCATGGATTGATGCTGGAAGACACATACATCTACAGGAAGAGGCTTTAATTATTTCCTTTATTTTTCAGGTACACCTAATGAACCCCGAGAACGTACCAAAACCATGCTGCGCCCCCACCAAGCTGCACGCCATCTCAGTGCTCTACTTCGACGACAACTCCAACGTCATACTGAAGAAATACAAAAACATGGTGGTACGGGCCTGTGGCTGCCACTGACACCTTCAAGGACCAATAATATTTGAACTGATATTTAAAAAAAGGGTTGGCAAAGGGCTGCAGCTGCACCAGCGACTCCTGAGTGAGTTTGACCTCCAGTAGACACCAGTTTTCTGCACAAATCCTCAGCCTGCAAGGAAGGTCCGCCCTTTACGCGTTGTATTCCAATAATCCTGGACAGCTCAAAAGCTCATTTGTCAACAAGGCATCAAACTAAGTAGGGACCATTGAAAAAAAAAACGTCCTACTCCATTGCTGAGTCACCAAATGGTCAATCGCCCTCTTTACATGTGGAGTGGTCTTCCCTCCATGGGTCTGCAGGTGAATGAATGATCATGTGTGTGTTGCGAGGGGGTCAGTCTGCCTGTATATTATGTTTATGGAAGAGTGGGTATGGACGCCGAGGAGTCTACTGCACCTTCTCCCTCACTGAGAGGGCGACGGCAAACCTGAACTGTTGGAGGACCAGTCTAAGTGCTGCTTACTTTCCCTTTATCCATTCACATATATATACATATTATATATATATATGTATATATATATATTTAAAACCAAGTGGCTCAACTGTAGTCAGTGACAAACTAGTCAAAATAAATGGTTTGAGTCAGATGGAATAAAACACAAGAGCAGTTTCCTCTTCAGATGCTGTCAACCCAAACAATCTAATACTGACTGAACAATTGGCCTCATTTGTTTCACATTTCCTTCCTCTTTTCCTGATGTATTTTCTTCTCAAGCCATATTTGCCTTCCTAGAATATAATATGGACTGAACCAAAGTAACCGCACACTATTTTAGCAGTGCACCGCTGCGAATACCCGCTCCGTGTCAATATTTGCCGGGCTCACGCTGAGCTGCGACTCACCGGGCTGGTTCAGCTCCCGATGCATGTTCTGGCTAAACTGGTGTTTTTCCTCCTAAGAACTGAAGAATACAGCCTTATCCCTCCGACGTACCACAAATGGCCATTTCCACGTTGCTGCACTCACAAAGTTAACAAACGTTCCACCCCTGACAACTCGGGAGAGATCATGGAAAAACATTTAGCGAGGCACACCGGCCGACAGAACCGTTCCTGTGCCAGCTGTCTGAAATTAGCCCTTTGCTTTTTCAACCCTGAGGGTAAAATTATGTCGAGATGTGTGTCCAGTAGCAAACACTCTCCATTTGAACATGTTACTGTGAGCTTTGAATGACTTTTAGAGACCATATTTTAATGAAAAACTAATATCAATAAAGAATCAAATTACCTTACATGACTAACCAACTATAAAATTACAAAATATACCTCTGTAAGCTGCTGTTTACATTTGTGATCATGTTTAGACTGTTTTATTGTAAATACTTGTACATTGTCAGCTTATTTATTGCACCTTTTATTAAAAAAGAAAAATCACATACCTTAATAACAAAGACAGATGCAAAAACACAATGAAAACTTATTTTTGAAAAAATTTATTATGAAATCTCATGTTACAACTTGCCATTATTTACTCTTTTTTGTACAAAATCCATGGGTAGAGCACAACCCATGACTCACAAGGAAAAAAAACTTCTCACTGGAGTTTTTTTTTTAAGACCATGTGCTATCCATAAAAACTTTTACTGACAAAGAACTGCTGTGTCTCGCTGTTTGTGTACCTGGTTTGGACAATAAATGAATGGCACCCGGCATTGTGCATTTGCATGGTTTGGGCACATCCTTGTGTATGGATGCAGTTTGTTACATCGCTACATGATTAAACGCAGGAAAAGGAAATTAAAAGACTCAAACTGCAAATACCACTCAAACTTTTGACAGTTGAATCCCTCAGAACATGTTGGTTTGAGGGTTGATGCTATGACTCAGTATACAGGACACTAAAACTACACCTAACCAATGCTTACAGTGAGAATAGGAAAAAACAGTCAGATAATGGTTTATTTTGGTTGTATTTGGTGAATTAGCAGCTAAGATCAGACCCATTATCCATGTAGCAGAGTTAAACTCTATCTGTTTAGTCATGGTCCAGGTCTTACAGCCACTGAGAGAAAATATAACATTCAGAGTGATGATTGAGAACCATTCATCCATTATATATACTGCTTATCCTCTGGGAGTCACCAAGGGGCTGGAGCCCATCCCAGCTGACACTGGCCAAGAGGTTGGGTAAACCCTGGACGGGCCTCCAAGAAACAGCGAGATACACACCGAAAGACCACGGCCAAACCGGGATTCGAACCGGGAACCTTCTTGTGAGGCAACAGTGCTAACCAATGGAACATGCTGCCCCTATTTGGGACAAGGAAGAGCAAATTATGAAGATGGTAGATGCAGCTGGTTCAACCACAAAAACAAAATTATCATAGGAGAGGTGATGTGATGTGATGCTAGATAGCCTGGCTGATCTTGAGCTTATGTTCTTTCAGTTTTAACATTGCTTTATAAAAATGTCTGACCAGAGGAATGCTCTTAAAAGCTTTCACATATTTTTTTGGAAAAGATGACTTAGAAAACAGTGCCATCGAAAAATGACATTCATAAATTTGTAGATATTTTGAAAAGAGAGTTCTATGGACACATTTGACACTTAGTTGCGTCTGATGGGTGTTTCCGAATGAACAGAAGAAGCAGTAAGTCTACAGATGTTCAGTAACAGAGATATGGAGCGACATGGTCCAGGCCTGAGAGGCTGAATGCCAGGAGGAGCAGAGAGGGCTGGAGGAGTCTGAAAAGAAGTCGGGTGCATGACTTAGATCTTTGCTAATTTTCTTTACTTTCCAACAAGCATGAGAAATTACTCTGATCTTTATTTTTCTCTTAATCACGAAGAGAAAAATGAAATCGGGCCCCTGTGCCATCTCAGACTCCCTTATCGACAATGAAGCCTCCGTCACAGCTCCCTCCAGCCTGTGTTTCCCTGAGAGTTAAGTCAGACAAGCTATTAGTGGTGTGGCTATGAAGTTCCTGCAACTTAACTCAAAAATCACATTCGGGTGACGCAAGCTTTTAACAAATACTGTAACATTAATGGCTCATGATTTAACAACAGATCCCATGTATAAAAAAAAAATTGGTATTTAAAAAAAAAAAGTCAAATGGCTACAGAAGTTTAAGTCAGAAACAATTGATTTTTAACCAGGAACATTTTCAGTGTTACCCTTTTAATAAACATTACCTGTGTGATGAATTCTGGTTCCGATCAATTGAGCAGTGCTTGCAGAGTGAATGTCAGACACAGAATAACTTCATGTGCAGACCCAACTGATATTCTCCACATTAGGAGACTTGAGGTTGAGTAACAGCAATGACAAATATATCAGATCCCAAACTGAATCATTCTGTCCTTGAACACGGAAGAAAGAAGAGACCGCCAAACCCGAGTGGAGAGAGATAAAGGGAGAGCTGGCTTCTGTATGAGAGCGAGCGAGAGAGTGGTGTCCTACTGGTCAGATATGCAGTGTGGGCGCTGACTTCACCGTCTTCTACAGCTCGTCTCTCGCCTGCCTCATGACAAAGCTGTGCAGGCTCTCCAGGTCCCGTCCTCCGTGGTGCTCGTCACCCTGGGTCCCTGCCCTGAAGATGATCAGTGTCGGGTAACCTCGTACCTGTGAAGGGAGTAAAAATCAACAAATGCTTTTCCATGTGCTTACTCAGATGGAAAAAATAAAATTTGATAGGAATAAACTAGGGCAGGTCTTTTGGAAAGACCCATTAAAGTTTATGAAGCTTACTTTTAGTAGAGAGGGTTGCACTTTAAAAGCATCTAGGAGGATTTTAATGAAAAACTAATACCAATAAAAATCAAAATGCCTCATATGACTATTGCAACTTTTATTAAAAAAAGAAAAATCCCATTCCTTAACGACAAAGACAGTGCAAACCATTGGTACAACACAACCATGACCCACAAAGACAAAAAAACTTCCACCATGTGGTATTCATAAAAACTTTTACTGAATAAAAACTGCTGTGTGACTGTTTGTGTACCTGGTTTGGACAATAAACGCTTCCCTGTACTGTGCACATGGAGGCAACTAGAGGTTTATTTAAAAACACTGCACATGAAGATTTATAAAAGTTGAGAACCACTGATTGCAGTGGCTTGATTTATATAGTGAGCCATGCACATACTTACAGAATACTTGTTGCACAGTGTGCGCTCAACAGTGCAGTCCACTTTGGCTATCTTGACATCAGTGAGGCCAGGAAACTCCTTCTTGGAAAGATCCTCCCATGTTGGAGCAAGATTCTTACAGTGGCCGCACCTACACAGCAGGATAATAAAGCAATTACATCATTTGAACTGACAAAAATACTTTGGAGAATTTAAGTTGAGGGTTTGACTCAATTCAAGACTCAGTCTCTTGACATTTGACTCAAATTCCTTTCAGGCTTTTAAAGAATCATACAACTCATCAAGTCCTCTCCTTTTACTTTGTGTTATTTTATTGAGCTACCGATACTTTGACTTTCACAAATCATGCAGTTCATTCGCCCAAATCACACATGAAGCTGATTGACTCAGGGCTTCAGACTGTTTCGAGGTGGAGCTGAATCAGACAGGTTATTACTAACTGAAAATAACAAATGTTAATAAATACTTAAAGAGACAAGCCTATATATAATATATATATTTATAACTATACTATATAACTTAAGGTTTCACGTGACAATGGGATGAAACTTGCCTTTAGGTGATAAAGCACACAGAATTCAAAAAGCATAAGTCAACTTGTAAACTTGTTTATTCAATGTGAAAGGAATAACACATCAATTCAGGAACCGGCAAATTAATATTCTTAAAATGTGATCTTACCATGGAGCATAGAACTTGATAAAGGTAAAGCCCTTGGCCACTGACTCATCAAAGTTGTTTTCTGTCAGGTCCAACACACTGGACTGTGGAAAGAGAAAGATTCTCACATTAAACAGTAGTAAATTATGTTGTGTTTCAGGTTTGCAGCCTGAAGAATCTGCCAAGCACTGAATTAACACTTTTATCTAATGTGGAAATGTAGCTAAACAAAGTTTGGCTGTGTTCAAAACTGCTGGTTGAAGCATTTTTTCATATTTAATTCATGTTAAGGAATGGGTTCTTTGTGACTGAAATAAAAAAACACAGGAACTCTTTAGGGCCTGCCCGAGGACATTATAGAGTGAAACAAATCCATTACCGATAATTGGCCAATAAATATATAAAATAATTGCAACGATGTAGATGTATCAAACCCTGTAATTGTAATTACGTCTTGACGTTTTACACTTAAACCATGAACAATGAAGAAAACACAAATACATTGTACTGAATTAGAAATATAAAAAGGATTGTTTTACATAAAATAAAAACATAAAAGTGCATCTTTACTTATTAGCAAACAAAAGCACAGATAAAGATCCTGTAAGCCTCATACCAGCATCAGTGAACAAATTATATTGACCAGCTACTTTATATTTAGAATGTATGAATATCTGCTTCATGCCTCCGTGCAGATTTCTGTACATCCAGCTTCAACCTGCTTCACAAATAAAACCAGGAGATACATACAACAATAACATGAAAATAATCTTGTGTATCCCAACCCAGCCTTACCTCCTCTTTGGCCGGCTCATCAGTGGGGATCTCGTTTTCTTTTTGTTCGTCGCTTGGTTCCTGGTCTGCCTCCTCAGCCATGGCAGCCTTCAGCTGATTGTCCACAAAGTCTTTGAAAGAGTCCAAGTCTCTTTTTCCTTTGTACTGCTCTGTCTACAAAAATACACCAACACACATTCATTTCAGGAAGAGATCAATAATAAAAATACTAGTTAAACTAAAACAAACTTGATCTGAATGTCAGTACATGCAGAGTTCATTTAAAAAAATTAAAACGTTTTCCTCACCTTCTGTCCATTGTAAAAGAAGAGCAGTGTGGGATATCCCCGCACTCCGTTGTCGGAGCACACCTCATAATGCTGTGTGCAGTCCACCTATGAAATGAATACAGGAGCATGTGTTGTTTGAGTAGAATGATATAAACAACTGATTCCATTAAGTTGAGACACTGTGTGAAATGTAAACAGATCAAAGTACGATCACTTGTTAATTCTGTTCATCATATATTCAACTGACAACAGTTAACGTATATTTACTGTTTCACCTTATTAACTTCAGTGATTTCTGTAAAAAGAAATTATGCATATTCTGAACTTTACACCAGCAACACAATTAATAACAGTTGAACTCCGTCATTTACAATCCAGGATGGGTCAAGGTTCACCACTTTGAAAAAAAACATCATGGACTGAACCAAACTAATCAGGCAGTGGTGTAGGGTACCTGGCTATTTCAACATATGCTGCCATCCAAATGTTTTGGTTTTTCATCCCTGATTATTCAAACTAGACGATGCCACATCACACTCTGCTCATGTTTTTGGTTAGAGTGCAATTACTAGATATGACAAAGAATATCAGGCAAGAATAGGAAAGAGTTTCACTTTCAAAACCTCAATAATAAGTATCTTCATTTGCCAAATACTTACAGAGTGTTTCTAAAAGAAAAGGTAATTTTTAATCAGCATATTATCACATTCTGTTTTTTTGTGTTTTGAGCAGTGTCCCAATTCTTCTGGATTTCACCCATGTCACATTGCAGCAAGATCTTTTCAACTTTTACACAATCTGAAGAACCCACCTTCCCGATCTTGACATCATCGGAGTGCTCGAAGGTGGTGGCCAGCTGTTCCCAGGTTGGTGCCATGGCTTTGCAGTGGCCGCACCATGGAGCAAAGAACTTAATGAGATGAGCACCTGCAAAAAGAGAAGAAAAGCCATTTCAGAAATTGCAGATAATTAACAAGAAAATTCAACACAAATGGAAAAGAAATGAAAACATGAAAACAATAAAATACCTTTCAGTGTGTACTGAAGGGAAAAAAAAGCCAAAATTCTGTACTAAAGTGAGGCTGAGCAACTTAATGGGTTCATATTTTTCATCTTGTGGAACAAAGCAAAAAGTTGACTCAGCTGCCATAAATTAAATTATAAACCTCTTACACTGAGATTATATGCAATCAATTCCATTTTTATTGCAGCTCTGTTGCCATAACGTGAAAAATGTAAACTCAGTTTCAAACGTGCAGATGTCATAAGAAAATATCATAAATAATCATTTATTTTTCTCCAAAAGTCAAAATATTCAACTTCGGCAGAGCTGGAGAAACATAATTTCAAGGAGACAATTATCGTGAGCTCTGTTTATTTCTGAAGTCCTTGTCTGAAACTCCAGAAACATGAGGTGACAGGATACAGGTGTTACAGTTGGTAATGCATGACTGATTGTGATTCAAGTATTTGTGTTGAACTGTCAGTTATGTAAATCGTGGCAATGAAGAGTTTCCATTCGCTAACGAATGATCCACAAACACCACACAGTGTGGCCAAAAAACTGAAACTAGGTTTCAAAGTGAAGACAAAACAGAACAAGTTATCTGTTGAGGCAGGATACAGCTGTGTAAATACACAAGATGAAGTTACCTATTCATTTGCCGAGCTTCGCTGTTACAACAGTATTCAAGTGAAGCATTAAACTGCACATTTTATACTAGATCTTTACCTTTGGCTATATGGGCCTTGAAGTTGAGAGCGGTGAGCTCATACATGCCCTGTTTGGGCTCTGGGGCTTTGGGGGGCTCCAGTTCAGTCTCTGGTTCCTGGAGAACACACAAAAACAACCACCAATGAACACCACTGTTCTCGTCCACTGTTCAGGGTCACTATAGTTTATGAACTTAAGTGAAAGAAAACAATTCACCTCAGGCTGCTCCTGGAGTGTCTTCAGCATCCAGGCCTCCAAAGACTCCAGATCTCTGGACCCCTGGTATTTCACTGCCTCCTGGTCTGGCTTAAACAACTTAAGCCTACACAGAACACAAAATATTTTCTTTCTTTGATTCCCAGTTATACGAGAAACTGTACTCCATGCACAAACGAGCTGTTATAAAAGTTTTGTAAATCATTACTCAGTGTCTGCTGTGTTTGCAGGTGTCATATTGCAGTGAGCAATAGCCAAGTTTTTAAAGGATGTCATTAAGATATGAAGAGAATATTTAACTAAATGCGGGTCAATGTGTCACCTCTGTCAATAAGTGATGAAGATAATTGTTTACTTGTAAGTAAAAGTTGTTTTTCTCCTAAATATCACAGCTAGTGCATTCTTTTTCATTCATTTTTCAGTTTCTGTTTGTGAATCAAAAATTCAAGTTGTCTAAACTGACTTCCTCCATGCCAAGAACTTACGTGGGGTAGCCTCTGATCCCATGGACATTGGAGCAGAACTTGGTGTCCTGGACGCAGTCTACCTTCACCACGTACACCTGAGGATCATCCATGCTGTTGTATTTGTCTGCCAGTTCATTCCATGCCGGCTGTAATCTCTGGCAATGGCCGCACCTGGACACAACAGTTGCATACACTCTTAAAATATATATTTTTGCCGAAAAAATAAACAATGAATCATGGATGGTTCACTCAACTTGACTCAACTGACCACACTTCATAAAGGATGACATCCATTATAGCCATGTGATAACAATGATACATAATAGTTTAATTGGTTTATAGTAGCATATCTGAGGCGTAGTATTCCTGGAATTACCACAATGCAGATGGTGGCCTACTACTCAAACATCTGCTTCTCCACTCTCCTCTGAATGAAACAAATGAATAAATAGACTTGCAGGCAAGTAGAACAGGGTCGAAGCACCCTGATGAAATTTGTACATGAGAAGCCAAGAGCATTAACCAACAGCAACTTCACAGGTGGTCTCCTTCCCCCGTCATCTGCTACTGTGATCCGCTGTCTTAGTAATCCAGCTGTTGTTGATGTTAACTGGCTTTCTGTCCATGTTTTCCTGCCTGTGACCCAATTGATATTGTTTACTTGGTGCTATTGTGGCTCCTGAGTCATGATCCTGTAAAAACAATACACCGTCCCTGGAGGATGTCTCTGCGTTCTGCATGATCCACAGTACAAATCAGATTAATTAACTTAGGTTGCAGTGAGTTCGATCAATCAGATCAGTCACCTGAGGCAAACATTAAACCATACACACATATAAATCAATCAACTCACTTCCATGTTTCTGGTTCTAAAGATACAGACAGGTGGGACACAATTCTCACATTTACAAACATACAATACAGCTGAAGACTATGGACGGTGATTCCTTATGGGGGTGAATTGCTTTATATATTTTATATTGCTTTATATACTGGAACACAGACATAAAAACAATTAATCGATATTCAGTTCACATACACTCTTCTGACAGAGGCTGCTGCAATCAGATCTAAGTGTTGAGAGAATCAAGGCAAATTAGATTAAATAATGGTCAAATGATTGTGGTATTAATCAGAAGTGATAGAGGAAAAGCTTGCATGACATACTGTGTGTTTTTTATGCTAAAATCTATTGTAGTTCCTAGTCTTTTTGAAAAGGAGAACAAGTTCTACTACTGATGAATACAATAGATTGCATAAACAAATTCTAAGTTTATATAAAACAAACTAAGGTAACATAATCCCTGTCATGAACACCAGTAGTAGTAGAACAAAGAAGTATTAGTAGTAGACAAAGGTTTGAAAGTGGAGCGACCTGATGGTTCATGTGGGAAACTCGTGACCTGTAAAAGATTCTGATCTCCATATTCACTCTCTGTCTTTATCACCATCTCTTTCTCTTGCTCTCCATTACAGGAGAGGAGGTGAGACATTCCTGGGACCCTCGTCATGGACCTCTGCAGGGTCCGTGGACCCCACTTTTGTTCCCACTGACATAACCCTGTTCAATCAGTGGCTGCCACGTAAGCGCAGCTTCCCAAACTACAACTTTGCACGGTGACCGACAGTAACTGGTTCAAGTGAACGAGCTAATGGCAACAAACACGTCTGGGTGTTTCAGTTTGCGGATCAATATTCACTAGAAACTTTCAATAAACTCCTCCAGAGAAAAGTGTCTGCACCGAGGCCCGGTGTGTAGAAAGTGCCCCAATCCGTTGTGCTGCAGTTGGCTAGCAAACCGGCTATGCTAGTTAGCAGCTGAGCTAACGACGCCGGTAGGGAAAGGACTGTGTAGCCGACTAGCTTGCGCGCTGACTAGCTTGCGTGCTAACGTACCAGTTAGCTGCAACTTCAGAAGACATGAGTTCGCATGTTCGGTGCATGTGAGGGACACGTTACCGAGAGGGCACGGTTGCTGTCAACACATGCAGTTAACGTGATCGTGGAAAACTTGGTGACTGTTCACTTACCACGGGGCGTAAAACATGACAAAGTGTGGAGCGGTGGGCACCGCCTCGTTGAACATCTCCACCGTGTATGAGTGCTTGGCGTGTTCATCTTCTTCTGCATCCGCGTCGCAGAACACACCGGAGAAAAGCAGCGAGGCAAAATAAATACACGACAACAACGCCGGTGTGCGATTCAGTGCAGGAGCCATGGTGAGCGTGTGTGTGTGTGTGTGGGTGAACAGTGTCCCTGCTGGTGTACTGTAAAAAAAACACGTGCACGCCCCTCCGGCAGAGTCGCTCTAAGAGGAGGCACACTGTGGATGAGGAGCAGACATGGAGATCTGTGCAGGAACAGCTGTGAGAGAACTCAAGATGTTGTGGAGATCTGCGGATCTGCGTCCAATCGCGAACAAGTGCCGGCATTCCGGGAGTATGGAAGCCTGTGTGGTCAAACTTTAGCGGAGGGGAGATGATGCGTGGCCGTAGTTAAGGTAAAGTTGATACACCTGCGTAATTCTCATCTGACATTTCATTTTATAAAATGTCTTTGAGGACAAACAAAAAGTACAATGAAAGAAAGAGCTTAACACACTGCAAATTAAGAAATCACATGCTAATAGAAAAAACATGTGCAAATTAAGAAAACAACCTCAATATACAGGTAAATACAAAACGACAACCAAAATGTTTCCAGGGGACTGAACGAACTGATGAAGTTGAGGAGTCACCACTGAAGAGTTACTTTTTTCTGTCCTTGGAAACATTTCTCAAGTCATTTTCCCTATTTGGAAGACGGTTCTGTATTTGCATGCGTTGTGGCTGTTTGCAGGGCATGTGTCATCAAATTGATGGATTTGTTTTCTTAATTTGCATGTGTTTTATAAATTTGCAGTGCGTTGTGCTCTCTCGGCCACTGTCAAAAAGACCTATCCAGTGAAAATACTCAGTCAAGTCAGTTCTATTTATAAAGTGGCAAGTAATCATAAGCTGTTTTCAGACATACACTGAACTCCAGATCCTCTCCTGACATTCTCCAGAGGGGCTCTATGTGAGAACACAAATGTCAGAATGAGAGGCTCCGGACTTTCTCCAGGGTACCTCCAGCCAGACCCCCTTGAGAAAACTAGGCCATGTGAGAACACAGCAGGAGATTTTCCTCAGAATTCACCTCAAGTGAGTGGGCATGTTGACGACCATACTAACAATGCGACAAAAATGTAAAAATAAAAGCTGTTCTCAGACATGTCTTCCGGAGGAACTCCAGAGAATGGAGTCTGGATGGTACCAGATTAATTCCGCTGCAGAGATCACATGTTTTTGTTTGAACTCTCTTGATAGCTTTGTCTGTATCGTCGATGTGTGTGGCACCGCTTCGCGGGATATTCCCCCACCCCCACTCACTCACAGTGAATCCAGCAGGATCTCCCACTGAGTTCTGACATCGGCCCCTCTGGAATTTCTGCAGATTTTATACTTGGGGGCCAGGCGGATAAAGTCTGCAGAAACTCTGGAGGATCTCTGGAGTCATGTCTGACAGCAGCTAGAAATACAGTATATAATATAATACACACACAACTAAGACTTTAACTAAATAGAACAGAACCTTCATCAATTCATATGATTCGTAGCACCTGTGTTTACCTTCTAGTTCCTGTCAAAATGGCTGCCATGAAGAAGGACTATTAGACGCTTTGATGAAGAATTTAACAACTTGGTTGAGCTAAGCACCAAAATGCGACAGAAATATATAACGCTGGCAAGTGGCAGTGAGACGAGATGTTTACCACGGATGTAACCATGCAACTGTGACCATTTGTTTCACATCTGACAAGCACATTAACACATTGGCTTGTTAGTGATTACCGTGAAATATCAAATACAGCAGGATTGATAAGGTTTTAGCAGGCTGCAGGCTGTTTTTGTTGAAATGAAACTCAACATTTCTTGATCACCATCTTTTAACTGGTTTAATTGTGGAAACTGGGGTTGATCTTGCTTGACCTTCGCAATGACTTCACTTGTCTTGCTTGATTTATAACAGGGACCCGACTCGACTTGCTCGATTCACACCTCATAACATGGGACCTAAATAATTAAGACCATAATCAAGATAAAGTATGTGAAGTTAACCAAAAGTCAAATGTGAAATATTACTTGAAATCTTTAAGGAAAGCCAATGAAGTCATTCTAAGAAGGGTAGTGAGAAAAACATCATCGGGATGTAATGTGAGAGACATTTAGGAGTTTGTAGTAACACAAAGCCAAACTAGTTGATTATAAATGGTTCAGTAAATTCCAGCTGGCTGGGGCTCTTTGGCAGGCAGTGCAATTTTCCTTCACACCTAAAACTGTCTTTCTACAACAAATTGGCCTGTAATAGGTAATGTTATAAATTTATTAAGACATCCAGGAGAAAATGAAATATTATGAAAACAGACTCTGGAGAGCACAAAGTTAACATTTTACATTAACTATGAAAATATGGGCACTCAGGAGTCACATTAGTGCCGGTTCACATGGCAGATGGACAGTTGCTTTTCTACACCGATGGTCAAGTATGAGTCACTTAACCTCCTCATCACATCTGGAGAACATTTTTAAGCAAATGCAATCAATCCAATTTATTACATTGGATAAATAGTGCCTCTTGTGGGGGCTTTAGCCTTGTGCAATGGGGACAGTGAATATAAATCGTGCGTCTATTCCCACGATTAAGAGTGTTTGTGTGTATCGGTTCCCAGAGTTCCAAGTACCTGCTCGCTCGCTGGATTAACAGCTCTTTGGCAAGTCCTCGCTTTTCCTTTCCGCTTTTAATATAGACGTGATTTCATGAAACCAAATATGTACAGAATTTCTCTTTAATCATCCCCCTTTTTCCTTTCATGTGGACAACAGGAAGAGTGGGAAGAGGGACCGAGGAGGTTACGGCATGGAAACGGAGGTGTCACCCCGAGCGGCACTATGGTAACACTTTCCAGACTGTGGAAGCTCTTTCATAAAAGCGGGTCTTGAATGTCTATATTCTAAAAGCGGGTGAAAATGATCCTACCATGCACACTCTGAGTCTGAAGTTACATATATATGTGTTACAGAGGTGTTTATGTGCTCTGTGTGTAGATGAGTGTGTCTGTCAGTGCTTCTGAGGCCCCTAGTGTCAGGAGATGTCCCGCATGTTCCCTAGACAACCATTAAAATTCCATCGTTAAAAACGCACACACATACGCACGCACGCACACACACAGACACACACACACGCACACACACATGCACTATTTTGTCCACAGGGAGTACAGGCATTCAGTTGAGAAGCAATATACTTGTACGAGACTCCCTCACAGAGATAGATGATGCTACAATGACCCCAAGGCTGACAAGGGACGATCTTTAACCTGTGGCTGTAAAAACTCAGATGTACTTTCTCTTTGAAGAACTTTATGAAATGTTCTACCTTTTAGCCGTGACCTCAATTAAAGAGACAAAAACAACCCTCAATTCCAATATTTTCTCAAGAATGCCACTGGGTGACAGGAAAAGGTGGACGTTTTGAAAAAATAGAGAAACGTAAATGTTATTTAAAGAGAGTTACAGGATAGGATTGATAGCACTTATTGGACCCAGGCTGGATGTGCTGCTTCATATGCTTCACATATGAATAGAATCTGGACCAGATCTTGCCTGGATCCATAATCCTTATCCATTCTGGACCCGGCCAGCAGTGCAAGTGGACTACGATCAGTTTCTGTTTTGTGGATCCTTTAAGGAGCCTATGAAATGTCTGGAGCATATTTTTTGTGTGAACTGTTGCTGTTCTCATATTCCTGCTGTCATTAGTCTAATGTCATATTCCAGCTGCTGCTCACTCACCCACAGTGAAACACAAATTCTTTCGTAGTTAATTGAAGGTGTCTACTCACAGGCCAGAGTCTGTCACAGGGGCTTTATAGTTGCCATTGCAAGTCAATAACCACACATCACTATTTAATCTCAACATGTCATATAGCTGTGATAAATATGACCAAATTGCAGCCGACACGCTTTACATTTGTCCTGGTGAAGTGGAGGTCGCATAGTTGTGGTCGTCTACTGGTTACCCATTGTTGATGGATAGGCACCTTGCCAGGCCAGCTGTACTATTGTGGTAAAGGAAAAAAGAAAGATTTATGGACCCTGGGGAACTGAGGGCATTCTGAGTATTGTCTGAAGTGACAGGTGAAGAGTTCTTTGTGCATGTGTGTGAATTTAAAAACAGCCAGCAGTGGGTTGTAATGCTTTATACAATTCTATCTAATGTATTATGTTGTAACTTGTGTAGAAATGAAACCTTGCAGTCATCACTTGAATCTCTCATTTGTCAGGTGTGTTGAATAATGTGAGGACCGAGGAGAGGACTGCTCCATGTGTTTACTGGTTACTTCGTGCTCACTTTGCTGCTGCTACCTTGCTGGTTAGAACAGTCATGTATGATTATTACCACCCACTCAATTGTTGTGTGTGGACCGACAACCCAATTGCATTTGTAGACTTGTGTTATATGTCACAATGTGTCCCTGACGACCCTGATCGGATCACAATCTGTCCTTATGTGTCCTTATGTGCAATTACGCCTTAATAACAAATTTTTATACCATGTTTACATTAACTTGAAGAAGGAATCAATCTTCTTTCCTCTCTGGAACAAAAGGAACATTGAGAATGTTGAACAATGTCATTGGGTGTCAATTGTGTTGAAGGGTAGGGTGTGGATTCAAGTTTCCATTAAAGTTTGGGTGTTGCAACAACCTTGACACCCACGGGTGCAACGCGCCTGTTCAGAGCAGTCTCAGTGCAACTGAGCGTCATGCAATCCAAAGCCAGACTTGTTTCCATCCATAATACAGAGACGAGTCATGGCCGCGAGTATCATATCCGGGACACAGGATGTGACCAACAGAGGAGAACCAATCTCATTTGCAGACAGCTTTCTGGAGCCACTTCAGCAGGCACCTGTGCTGGGAAAAGACAGCAGAGAAAGGACTCTCCCACATATTTGGAGCAAACCCAGAAAAAAACATTCAAAGGATGGAAATTGGGACGCACCTTGTCTTTTCATCTGGGTGGCTAAAAGAGGGCGAGATGAAGTTAGACAGTGTATGAGTGGAGTGGAAGAAGGGAAGAAAGTGAGGATAAGAGGGAAAGGAAGAAACAGTGGTCATGTTTAATAAAAGTAAAGAAAGCTGTGGGATATTTAGAGAGTGGACAAAAGCAGAAGGAGGATGAATGATATGAGGTGGCTGCATTGGCTGTGCATTACCTTGACAGCTCCTGCTGGATCCCAAGTGTTATGTTCTACCACGTTCTGCTGGATTCAGCCAGATGACTAAATCTGTGCCATTTGTCCTGAGGTGTCCACACAATTGGAATGACTATGATTTTCCACAAGGCCAC